GGCAATCTCTAATGCTTTCAATTTCTAGTAAATATTTCTATTTATGTAAACATTTTATGAATACTTAGATGACACTTTTTAGAAACGTTTTAAATGTTTATTTTGTCTAGTTTCATAGACAATGCATGTTAACTAGAATTTAGAGGTATTGGATTGAATATGTATGAAGTTTAAATTTATGTTGGGTTTTGTCCTCCTATTTGAAAATAGTATAACTTGGGCTACGTTGCATGTTTTTAAGTGAAATCAATGGGGTTTGAAAGGTCTATGAGTCTTCTAATAGTGGCCTTTGAAATTTCTCAAAAATATTATCAAAAAAAAAAAAAAAGTTATGCCCATTTTAGTAAACTGCATTGTGTCGAATCCGAGATTCCTGTCCAGCATATTCGAGTAATATTTTTGTGTTTCAAACGTTATTGTCGAAACCCCAAATTTTTATATGTGGTACATATATGAATGCTTTAGAACCCGCAAAAATTTCATAAATTTTAATAGACATTTTCTAAACCAAATATATTTTCCTTCCGCTGTTGTTAAATCCGTAATTGTCGATTTGCCTTCAAATCGTTTACAAAATCAAATTTTGCTACATTTGCCTAAGTTTATATGGATAACTACCTTCCATTATATTTTTATATATTTAAAAAAAAATTGGATTTATAAAATACTTTGGCTAGCGTCAAAGGAGTAAACCAAATAAAGAAACGAATATTATTTTAACGCTTCGGTTCCGAGAATTTGGGGCGTTACAGTTGCTATTGTTTTGCCGCTGCTGGCTCTCTCTTTAACCCTATGTTTCTTATCCCTAGGAGGTCTTCCTCCACATCGCAATCGTGGCCGAGTTGCTTTCAGTGGGCCATATCATACACAGTCACCTACTTCCGGTTGCCTATACTACTCTGATAATCAAGTCATGAAACATTTTGGTGTACAACGGGTAAAGATACACAACTAGATGTATGAAGAAAAAAATGCATTTATAATAGTTCATCTTATCTCTTCTTGTACATATTAGTTGAATATTCACAACAGAGAGCTCAATCCTAAAAATCTTCCTTAAGATTTACAAACCTAATTTCTTGGAGTCTCCAATTCAAATCTTCAAATGATAATCTGCAAGAAGCATAATGTACATAGATTCTAACATCCTTATAAACATCTTGGTTTGTTGCTTTGCTATCTATATCATGTTGAAGATTAGGCTGTACATTCTTCTTCCTCAATGAAGTCTACAGAATATGTCCTCCTAATTGCAGGTCTCTTTTGGAATTTTTACTTGATCGGCAGTATGCCTTCGTTGCCTTTTAACATCCGCACAACCTGCATCATGTGTAAAAATTCGGTCACAATGACAAACTGTCTCATTCTAAATGTTTACGTGCTAAACGAAACACATGCCTGACTCATTTTAGGCCTTTCTGTAGAAGACTGATGTATACATATAGAAGCAGGCTTGACCTTCTGATAAGCTTCACCAAGTGATGGATCAACTAGCTCTGCATAGTTTTTACCGATAAGCATAGGCTTGGCCTGCACGGGTTCAGTTCTTAATCATAGAATACAGTGTTCACTTGTTTGGTGTACAGTATTAGGCAATTGTCGTCAAGAGAAGCTAACATACCCACATCACGAGGCTTTGGTGTGAATCATCTATGACTGGTTGACCAGTTATGAGCTCTAACAAAAGTAATCCAAAAGCATAAACATCAGTTTTCTCATCCACTGTGCATTGCATGAAAAGCTCAGGAGGGAGATACCTGCTCATACATAACCAGGAAAACAATTGATCATACTGAATTTTCAGAAGGATTTAGGAAATACCCTGTTTTCTTCCTTAGAATTTAAGCTTGCGTAAACGTTCCTTCTAACTCCATAACGGTGAGTTGAGTCCACTGGTCGGGAATCCACTTTGTGAGCCCAAAAGCCGTGATCTACATTGAACTAAAAAACTTAAGCATCAAATCTAGGACTTCACACTAGAAAAGAAAATCCTCTACCTTAAGAGTAATGTTTGGGTCATACCTTAGGTTCAAAATCTTCAGTAGGCAAATATTGTCAGATTTGACGTCTCTGTGGATAATTCTCCGTTGACAGCCCTTGTGAAGATATGTAATGCCAGAGGCGACGCCTAAGGCAATCTTGTACCTTAAGCACCATGCTAGCTTCTCCCTTTGACCTGAGTAGTCGAGGGAGGGACATGAGAAATTAAGGTTTTTGGTTGTTATAAACTGAAAGAAAGACTAACGACCTCTTCTAATGAACGAAACCATTGAGCATACTCCCATTAATAGACAAGGGAAGAACAAGATGCATCCCTCCTTAAAGTGCAAAGCCTATAACACTCGCAATGTTTGGATGGTCGACATGTACTAAAACCCCGAGCTCTGATAAGTAGTCTTCTGCCTTATGAGTCGGGGTTTCTCTGATCAACCTCTTGATCGCTACTAGCTGGCCATCTTCCAATCGACCCTGGTAAACTTCAGAATAACCTCCCTCCCCGATCAGGTTTTCATGGTTAAAGTTGTCTGTTGCTGATTGGAGGTGGGAGAGGGAAAAGTTCTTCCATGTAGATTTAAAGTTGTATATCAAATTAGGGTAGACAAGGGGTGGCAATACTGACAAACTCTGCGCATTCCGTCGTCTTTTCAACTGATTGAATGAAAGTTCGGTAAGTTAGGATGGAACGGATGCAAATGCATGGTCGACCCTTTCTTCAGTTTTCGAAGAAATCCATGTCATTGCGAATGAGATTTTGCGTTTCCTCTTTGTTCCGAATTTGATGGTGAGCATTCAGCTGTTGTGCCCTCCTCCATATTTGTCAATACTTGCAAAATGCAATTTATTTAAACTCGTTAGTCGAGAATTTTCGTCCTCTCCATTGAACCTAAGAGGAGCACCGGTTCTTACAAGAACACGAGACGAGGATAATATGATCTTACCTTCTGCAGAAAGAGAAATGGAAAGATGAAAAGATTAATCTCTGTCCAATCTCTAAAAGCTCTCCTTCTGCACTTTCTTCAGCAGTATCAAATGTATCTTCACTCTCACTTTCAAGAAATCGATAAGAACTTATATCAAGGGTCAATTTACATACAAATGAATTTGAAAAAAAATTCCAAATAGCAACTGGGTTGAATAGAGAATTTCTTGAATTCAGAGGCAAAAAATGTGTTTTTATATGATATTCGTCTGTTCCAAATTGTAACGCAATAGAATTCGCCTCTAAAACAGGCTTCTAAGGGGAGGGTGTCTAATTGGTTACAAACCCACAAACTAAAACTACTTCCTAGCGATGCAATAGGGGTTATTACTTTCCATTAACCAACTTCCACGATGACCCATATTCTTGTCTAGTTGATTTCACAAAATTAGTTTTCAACTGAAAGTAGGCCTTTCTAGATCGTAACGAAGCTCATCCCCACAAGAATGGCCAGATTTCGTAAAATTCACCCTTAAAACTGGCTTGTAAGGGAGGGTACCCAATTAAGCCACAAATTAAGAGTAAGACGGTGGGATAGAATTATAGTCAATACACCAATCAATTTCTAGTCGACTACATGAAAAAGATTAATTATTTTTAAAACTGTCAAATGACAACATGTCACGTGGTTAGAGGCAGTTACAATTCATGGTACAACGACAGTGTCTTTTGATCTCAATGAAAACAAGTACTTTGCCAATTAAGGTGTTTAAATTTTAATTTAAGCTTATCAAATATACTTTTTATTCGCATGTTTAATTCACTACTTAGTTTCAAATTATTATTCCAGAAATCCTATAAACACTTAAAAGTATCACCAAGTAGACATGAAGTAAACTCCAAATTTTTACTTATTTAAGAAAAACATGTCAAACACGGTGCTTTGGCTTTTTATGGCTACCACCGACTGGGCCCCAATCAATTAAGTCCTTCATATTCACCCTTCATTAGTCTACAGCCCATTTACAAGATATTTCATCAATTAAAAAAGGAAAATTGCAACTGCAGTCCTCACGTTTGCACGCTTTTCTCTGACTTTCATTTATTGATAGCATTATCTTGAACCGTTCATTTGTTAGTGGCTTCACTTCCCACTAATGACTTCTGTCCAAAAATACATTTTAATCGAGCGTGCCTTGAATTCAAGCATGGACATATTAACTCCAATCTTGAAAGAAAAAAATTGTTAACAGAATAAAAGAAAAATTAAATAAAGAAGTCATCTTCTCCAACCCTTTTAGATACTCCACTACAAACTCTGAGTGTACTTAATTCAACATCAGTTTCATTTTTGACTGACTAGCCATATTCTTGTTAACAATCCCATATTTATGCACAATATTGGTGCTTGATGATTTCATTTAGGACCAATTTAATTAAGGTGATTTTCATCAAATGTAAGGCCATGTGCATTGGTGACATATCTTATTTCTATGTTACTTACATTCTTAATTTAGGGTGCGTTTGATTGCGAGTATGAAATTCGTATGGGAAGAATTCTAAGTAATTGAATTGTTTAGAACTTATTTCAATGAAAATTATTAATTAAATATGTATGATTAATTTAATTTTCAATTTAGAAATTATAATACTTGTCCATTTTTTATTGATGAGTAGATGAAAGAGAAATGTGATAGATGAGAGAGAAAGAGAGAGTGAATTGCTTGAAAAATAAAAACTCTCTCTCCCGAAGGAAAATATTTTCCTTATTTTTTAAAGAAAATATGGTTACTTGATCAAAAGTTGGAAAACATTTTCCATGAAAAAAATTGTCAATCAAACACCCAAAAAATAGAAATTTGGACGGAAAAATGACATTTTTTTTTAAAAATAATTTCAATCAAACACACAGTTAGTTAAAGTTTGAGTGGTATTTATAGTCTAATACGTTAAGGACCCATAACAATTTTTTTGGATCAATGTTTATCTTTATAATTAACGACAATTTTCAAATTAAGTCCCACCCAATCCGAAAATTAGGATTGTGATAGAAAACATAGTCCGATCATTAAATTATAATTTTAAATTTTTGAAGAATTAAAATAAAATAGTAAATGAAGCGATAAATCAAGAGTATTTAATTCTCATCATAATCACCTCTCGAAAATTCCTAGTAGCTTTTCCTGTTCCATTGCAATAGTGTAAAAAGGTTGAAAGATTGGGAAAAAGGTTGAAAGATTGGGGTGAAGGTTGCAATTTTCCCATATAAATTACTCCTTTACTTTCGCGGCATTTTGATGCCAATCGCGAACTCGCTTGCGTAAACTACGCTCCCCGATGTACGGTGGACTCAAATCGCGAGGTAATTTTAAGTTTGGACAAGTCAAGTAGCCATTTTTTCACTTTAAACAAAAAACTTTGCCAATCCTCAAAATGGCCTTTTATTGAGTAAAGTAGTTTATATAATTACAAAAATAGAATTTTGTTTCAAAAGACAAATATATCCTTAAGTTACAAATTAAAAAATCAAACACTTTTCACTTTATATTTAATTATTTATTTTAATTTCATTAATTAATTATCTTAATCGGTTATGTATATTATTTATTTAATATTTAATTTCTTTATTTAATTATTTATTTAATCACTTGTTTAAATAAAAAATTAATATTTAATTTGATTTCTCATTTAAATATTTTATTAATTTATTATCTTAATTGATTATGTATATTTAATAAATTATTTAATTATTTATTTTAAACGCTTATTCAAATAAAAAATTAATATTTAATTTGGTTTTTCTTTTAAATATTTCATTATTAATTATCTTAATTGGCCCTTATTTAAGTATTTATTTTAAACACCTACTCAAATAAAAAAATTAATATTTAATTTAGTTTCTCGTTTAAATATTTCTCTATTAATTATCTTAATTGGTTATATATATTGTTTATTTAATATTTAATTACTTTATTCAAATAATCACTTATTTAAATAAAAAATTAATAATTATTTTAATATCTTATTTAAATATTGTTGACCTCGCAAATTGGACCCTCCACATGATAAACCGATAGCTACTCCACGTATTCCTTTCTGCGCCCAATTAACGCACGATCAGATGCACACGACCGGGACTAGCGAGGGCGGCAGCGGCCACGTACACTCCAACGGTCAAGTTAGCCCCAGGTGATCGGAACAGTACCAAGGTTGTGCAAAAAGATGGGGAGGAGAATATATATTTACTTGTTATGGAGTGTTAAGTTGTAAGATTTTCATTATTCTTGCTTCTTGCCAAACCTTGGTATTTATAGGTGAGGAGAACCGTTGGATGTGGGACACGTGTATGTATCTGACAGTGTGAGGCGTCTGCTCATAGGCGTTAATCAGCCGCGTCTATAGAGTGAGCGGGTAATTACTTCGCCCGAGTTGAGTTGACATAAGGTTGATACGTCACATCAACTAGGCTCATGAAGACGTCAAATCAATTAAACCTTGGGGGCAGAAAGGATCTTGACACAGATCTCTTTCTGAAATTAGCGGCGGATCATCTGACAGAGAACCTCAGAATGTAATGCGCCTCGGCTTCAGGGGCGAGGACGCTTCGGTCGGTTCAGTAGATTGTCTGTGCCTCGCAATGCGTTAGCAGATCGACAACATTCGTGGTGGCGTCACTTCGGAACCACTTCGGATGGGTGTTGGACAGCTCGTATAACACAGTGGTAGATTTTTCAAAGTGGTTCAGATAGGGGTGTAACATTGGTCCCCCCAAGTTCAGGCATGAATATTTATATCATGGGTGGACTTGTTTTCCCGATTAGGTATGTCTGCCTCGGGATAGGGACCGTGATTTGTGAGAATTTGTGAGTTGGTTTTCTGTGTTCACCAAAGCGTTGACCTTAGGTAGACGCGCTAAAGCTTTATTACTACATAAGGAAAGAACGTATCCGAGACCGATGTGCTGCCAACTGGACAATGTGTTGGGAGACGGTCGAAGTTTTGTAAAGCTTGGGAGGAAACGCAGCTATCGGGGCGATGACCCACATGGGACTTCGTGTTAAGTGCGTTTATGCTTCGTACAGCTGAGTGAGGAGCTCATCTACCACCGGTACGTTGACCCATAGGGGACGACGCGTTGGGAGATGGCTAAAGCTTTGTAAAACTTGGGAGGGGACGCAGCTATCGAGGCGATGAACCACAAAGGACTTCACGTCAGGTGCGTCTAAGATTTGTAAAGCTGAGTGAGGAGCTCATCTGCCACCGATGCGCTGACCCATAGGGGATGACACGTTGGGAGATAGCTAAAGCTTTGTAAAGCATGGGAGGGAACGCAGCTACCGAGGCGATGACCCATAGGGGACTCCGCGTCAGGTGCGTCTAAGCTTTGTAAAGCTGAGTGAAGAGTTCGATCTGAGGTGGGCATTTCTGAAGTTAAATGATATGATAGCTGTCGCGTATTTTCAAGGCCAGTTGGGTGCGACGTCCATTCCCCTAAAAGGCTGCTGCGGCTACTTATTGTAAACGACTGATGGTGATCGAGGCGACGCGTTTTATGCGAGCATAAGGGGCATAGCCAGATCTCAGGCGTAGATCAAATCTGGCGTTCCATTTCAACGGCCTAGATTGATGATGCAAGGGACGACCTGGATTGATTGCATTTGAATTGAACGGTGGAGATCAGCTGGGGCGCTCTATAAAAGGAGGACTTGAGCGTTTGGGTAGTTTTTCACTTTTTGCGAAATCAGAAACTTCCTTTGCTCTCAAAAATCTTGCACTTTTCGGTATTCCTCAAGTATTTTTCGGTGAGAAATTCCAGTTTTCGACGGCTCTACAGTCTCTGCTAACCATTTCAGCTGTGGAACTCCAAATTTCGTGAGTTTCAGTAAGTGTTTGAAACCTTTTCATTTTTGAAAAATGGCTTCTAAGGGTAGTGGTAGTTCGGGGAGGGGGTTGGAACTAGTGTGGATGGACGAGCACATTCTGGCGACCTCCTCCGAAATAGCTGAAGCAATAATTGGGGGGAGAACATATGGAAGATGCCAGATAGCCCCGTAGACACATAAGTACATTGGGGAGCGTCGGATTACCCTTCTAAGCTAAAGGGTGCCGACCTGGAAAGATTTAGGGCTGAATATAGGATCCCTAATAGTGTAGATTTGATCCTACCCTAACCTGATGAGCGGGCCTGCTACCCTAGGCCAGGGTGCGTAGCAATTAGCGAGGCAATTCTTAGGGCTGGCCTTAGGCTTTCGATCTACCCATTCTTCCGTATGGTACTAAGGTCGTATGGCTTAGCTCCTACCCAATTGAACCTGAAATCCTGGAGCCAAATGGTGGCTCCTGGATGTTGTGGAAGGAGATGTCGCTTGGGGGTAGAGATGCCCTTCTCTATTTTTCAGATCCTGTATATCCCTAAGGTGGC